CACTGGCGGCAGCCCGTAAATAATTATGTATCTTGAGATCAAGCACAACTGGGGTGACCAAAGACTGAAAGATCAAGCAAAGCCCAAACTAGCCGTTCTTACATGCAACTGAAATCTCAAGCAAAAACAGGGCCACTGCGCACATTTCCCGCGGCAAACCCCGGACCTCCACCGCTTGCCGGATCTGCTGCAGGTCCCGCGCCGGAAGGTACTGCCGCTCCCCGGAAGCCTCGACAGTGAGCGAGCAGAGCGAGCAGAGCGAAGAGAGCTCTCTCGTCTCTCCCATGCCCCTAACTAAGACAAAAAGATTCCTCTCCCCCACCCCCCGCCCCACCCCCTCGCTGCGGCTCCGGCCTCGGAGATGAAGGAGGTGCAGCAGAGCGGCTGCTGGAAGAGCTCCTCGCGGTTCGAGGCCGCTCCGACGCCCACGAAGCACTTCGACACCGCCTCACAGACAGAGGGGGGGGACCCACGGATTCCCTCCCTCCTATATACAAGGTTATAGATAGAGATATTTATGCATGGAAACCGTATAAGGACTTAATAGACTTCTAGGCCTTCTCGATCATCGCCTGCAGCTCCTGCGGACATTCTGCGCATTCTGCCCCCTCCCCCCGCCCGCGCCCAAAGTCTTCTTTCTGAAAGGGCCTCCCTTTGGTTGCCTGACTCTGAGACCGTATGGAAGAGTCGTCCTTGGCATCCGACTCCAAGACGAGGCGATCGGAGAAGACGCGCTGGCACTCGTGCAGCCAGACCTGCAGAAAGATGAAGAAAGAGAAAAGGAAAGAAAGGACAGCAACAACCGCACGGCTTGTTGCTTTTGCTTCAGCACTCTCTGAGCTCTGCTGGGGCCCCGTGCCCTCAGGAAGCGCGTGGGGCCGCCCGCGTCCCGGAAGACCGAGCTGTTGGTGCTCAGCAAGCCCTGGAAGAGGTTGGAGATGTCCTGTGAGGAGAGGGAGAAAAAGCAGAAGTCGCCTCGCGAGGCGCGGCGCGCAGTTGCCAGGCGGGGCGGCCTTCAGGTTGAACTGGTAGTGAAACTTCTCGGCGGAAGGCAGGAAGGAAGCGGAGTTCTGGATGGATGCCAAAACCTGCTCTCTCTCTCACACACACAGAGTGCTGCAGTTCCCCCGGCCCGCAGAGATCAGAGATCTCCGAATTAAAAGGCGCCACGCGCCCTGCGCGCCTCGGCGGTGGCGTTCACGATGGGCTCCGTGGTGCGCTGCGTCTGCTGGCCGAAGGCCTCGAGGTGTCGGCCCAAGACCTTTGTGTAGATCCCCGAGATCAGCTGGATGCCGGGGGCGTAGGTGGTGGCCACGGTGAAGCGCCGCTGCAGTCGCCCGTTGATCATGAAGCTCCCCGCCTCAAGGCTAGGCGCGCTCGCGCGCAATCGCAAGGCAAGGTTCTTCCGCGCGCGGGCGGAAAAAGAGACCCTTCTATAAATCTTGTTTCAGTCTCTCTGCTGCCCCCGAGAGATCGTGGGCACAGAGCTACGGGCCTTGGGGTTCATGCAAGCGGTGAAGAGCAGGTCCACGATGGTCTTCTTCTCGTCCAGCCGCTCCCGGTCGTAGACTTGCCCGTAGGAGAGCACCTTTCCGGAAGGGAGAAACGCAAGCATCACTGCCCACGGCCACCGGAAGGCGCCCTAAAAGGCGCTGCTGGCCTGGGTCAGCAACATGATGGCGCTCTGCGTGTCGTAGCTGTCAACCTCAGCGGCGACGCGAGAGGCCGGGAGGCGGCTCAGCCGCCTCTCAGAAGCGCTCTGGCCCCTTAGCCTTAGCTTGCCTAGCGCTTTCCTTCTTTTGGTTTTTGAAGTAAGTGGCGTAGGGCATGTTCAGGTCATCCACGAAGAGGATGCGGCGACGGTGACCCGGCGGACCGAAGGTGTGGCCGGAGCGCCTCAGCGGAAAGCCCAGGGTCCCGAAGCAACGGCCGTGGCGCCGCTGGGCTTCCAAGCTTCTCCAGACAGCCTACGATGATGCCCTGCAGCGCCGCAGAGGTGGTGTAGCCTGCATGCAGCATCTTGCTGCATCTTGCAGTCTCCATGGTGTGCTCTCTTTCAGGCCGGGAAGCTGTTGAGGTTGATGGAGGCCGAGTTCATCTCGCTGTTCACTTTGACCTGAGGCTCCGCAAGAATGGAAATGAAGCGAAGCTTTTGCAAGTCCAGCCTCCGCGAGGTAGTCCTGAGAGAGAGCAAACAGACCACATTATCTGCCGGCTGCACAGGGCAAGAAACACACATGATGCAAAACGCAAAGCGATGCTGCACAAAGCAGACGCGAATGATCGACACATGGTCCCATGGTCGCTTTAAGAAATGCAAGTCACCTCGCATCTCACACGCTTACTGACTTACCCTTGAGGTTGCCGATTCCGGACGACCGGTCCTACCATTCTCTTCTTTTTCCCATTATCTCCCGCTGCACCCCGGTTGCTTTCGCTCCGGTCCTTGACTATGGTCGTCTTGCCCGTTCCTGGAGGCAGAAGGTCAATGCTTGACAAGTGAATTCTCTGCCCAGCCAAAGAGGGGGTCTCCTGCGACACCCACCAGCAGCATCGGCTTCTGCCGCTTCACATGGAGGTCCAGGAGATGCCTTGTGGGCAGCGGAGTTTTGAATCTGAGGGCCAAGGCCACGGCCCCAAAATGGATCAGCCGCGGGCTTCATGCGCTCAAGCTCGACATTACTGATAATGATGTTCTGGTAAAGCACTTCAGTGACGGGCTCGTACTTCCTCAGATACCACAGCTCGCAGCCATTTACGCCATTCACCTTTCACGTAAATTTGTCCCAGTAGCTTCACGCTGGTCTCCCAATGCACCCAATCCTTCCCCAACAAAACGCGATGCTTGGGGCTTGCAAACGCAAAGGCGACGATGGCTCGGTGTCTCTCGTTGCGTTCGCTTGTCCTTGGCGGCCACATCGAAGCGGAAGTCGAAGCACTCTCCGAACTCTGGCAGCTTGACTCCCCGCGCCATAGACCTGTCTATCAGGTGAACGGAAGCGTCTCTGTAGGTCGGCATGCGGCACCAATACCACGCCTCAGGGTGGCGTTGAATGCGCGGCGGTGGTTCACGATCTTGTCCTCAGGGTTCATGTCGGGCTGCCCTATGAATTTGTAAATGCCCATCACGGGGGGAGCCGGGGGCCCCACGTCAGCGACCGCGCCACCCAGGGTCCACATGAGGGCGAAAGTGAAGAAACTCTCGTAGCACAGCTTCTGTTCCTAGCCCAATGCTCCGGACAATGCTTCGCAACTTGCCACAAGAGCTCCTCGGTCGGCATGGTCCGCAAGAGCTCCAATGTCGTGTTCTTGCCTCTCATCCGGGATCCGACGAATTGCGCTAATCCCTGTCGACGGCCGTCTCCTTCTTTCTTGCGAGGGGTGCAACCCGGCCCCTGTTGTGGGGGCCAGAAGTGAACGTGCCGTCTCTGTCTCGCTCTCTGGTCTCTTGTCTCCTCCATTTTGTTTCAGGGATGGATCAATGCATCTAGCAATGTTTTTCTCGGAGCTAGGTTTAAGGTCCACCTTGACCCTTGGTCTGTCTGTCTGTCTGACTGTCTGTCTGTCTGTCTGTCCGTCTGACTGTCTGTCTGTCTGTCTGACTGTCTGTCTGTCTGTATGTCACGTAAGCAAAGGCACAAACACTGTAATAAAAGGGCTGTATGAAGTTGTTCTGGAACAACCGGGCTCAGAATCAGTAGACTCTTGGCTCTGCACAAGAGTGATCGGATGTCCAGATAAACTTTCGGCGGGGTGTCCGGCCGGACGGCGAGACCGTGTAAGCAGACAACAGTGTATGGGCCGCAGTGGGGAAGGGCAACACTTTCCGAAGGAGCTCTTGGCCCTTTCCGCGGTGGGCTGTCTATCTCTCTGTCTGTCGCTGGTTGTTTCTGTCTGTCTCTCTGTCTCTCTGTCTTTTCTTTTCTTTCCCAGGGTATAAGGGGCGA